TTGTTTTCTTCCCATAGTTTCTTGTTGGTGATTCTTTCCGGCCATCTGATCTTCAGTATAGAATGAAGACAGTTGTTGATAAAGGTCTGCAACAGGCTGTTGGAAATATTCTTTGTGACCCGCCAAGTTTCTGATCCATCCGTATAGAAGAACTGACTGACTTGACGTTTGTACTGAAAATCCGAATTTTGTTGTTGATGCAGGCTGAGTGACGAAGATTTCCAGATTGGTTTCAGGTTGACGAATGTGTTTCCCGTCTTCCCGATTCTCGATTTGACATCCTCGTCCGTTCCTCCTGTAGTTGAGACAATGCTCCCTAGCTAGATAAGTGAATGAAGTAACCTCTTTCAAATCCCTCCCTTTGATGGTGATTGGCGCTGGATGTTGCTGCTGTTTTTGTTGTTGGTTGGTCATTTTCATAACCTCCGTCTTGTCTATGTTCACCTGGAGTCCTGTCTTCTCTGGCTGCTTCTTCGACTAGTTTGTCGGTTTTCGCTTGTTAGTCTTCGATTTTGTGTGACATCAAACATAAATCATCGAGCGCGAAATCCAGGTCTTCTAGATTCCTCACGTCGGTCCAGGATATCCCTGTCTTCTCGTTTCCCACTGTCTGACGCATAATCCAGTCCACCACAATTAGGAATATCATTGGTGATAATAAGCACCCTTGTCTGACTCCTGTGTTTACTCAAAACGCCTCGCTGAGTTTTCCGTTGTGGATCACTTGACATGTGCCGTTGTCGTACAGCTGTTGAATAAGGTTGATGAATATTTGGGGTACGCCGTAGTACTTGTGTAGTTTCCAAATTACTTCGCGATCAATGCTGTCGAAAGCCTTCTCAAAGTCTATAATGTTGAGGCAGAGGTTTGATTGCCATTCTATGCTTTGTTCGATGATGATGCATAGAGTTGCAATTTGGTCAGAACGTGATTTGCCTTTCCTGAATCCAGCTTGTTCTGGTCGGAGTTCTGTATCCAGTGCGTCATTTATTCTCACCAGGATGATGCGACTCAGAATTTTACTTGGCGTCGACAGGAGCAAGTAGAATGCTTATTGTAAGATCACTCTAAAATAACACTATATTTAGTCCATCGAATAGACCAACTATTTTTTAAGCTCCAGGATATCATGTATCTTAACTCACTAAATTCGTATGATATGTACCATCCGAATATGACACAAAACACAGTTTACTCAGATATTCAGCCAGAACCTCAGTGATTTCAAAGACTGGTCTAAAAACTAAAAGGTTACCCACCATTTTTCCTGAAACGATCAATGTTTGGTGGTATGTCTGATGCATTTACGAATTTTTTCAAGTTGCATGTAGCACGATCTTGACTGTATTAAATAACAGCGGATTCCAGTTATCCAAATCAGTAGACAAAGAGGTTAAAAGTTTCAACATTATTCTATTTTATGAGATAACAAATCTTCCCATAAAAACTACAGAGAGATAAGCTTGGCTAAAATGATATCTGTAATTCTACATTTCACAACCAAATAAAAAATAAGTGAGAAATAGGCTCAGTGAAAGCTAACCTGAAAGGAACAAAAAGGTCTTAGGCATGTGTCTGGATGGATTGATATAATCTTAACTTCTTGCCAGGTTTTGCAACATAGACATACTTATCTGACTTCGTCCATCTTTCCTGACCAACCGGTAGCACTCAACTTGGTTAATCCAGAGGTATAGGGCCATTGCTGCGAAAGTCAGTTGTACTAGTGAAGACACTTACAAGCCAATGTTATGTATGACTAGAAGCAAAGCTGAAAGGAGTATTTACAACAGTAGTTGATGTCTGTCAGGAATGCTCAACATCACTGAGCCCAGTTGCTTCTATTAAAGGTGTGCTAATGAATATGACTTCAACTTTCCGGAGACTGATTTGTTACCAGAACAAGGGGTGATTGTCTTAGAGCATAAAGAAGATGCCGGTCAGAGGTGCCCAGTGTCACTGTTTATACTTACTTTAATATATATTTATGACAGGTACGAACTAAGTTGACTTGCTACCACTGAGAGGACTTGTTGACTTGAGGTACGCAGACTATATGGTCATGTGTTGTAATCCCTCGTTGACATTGGTGTATTTGACACTCGTATTGATTATATCAAACGTAAGACGATGCTACATAACTGACCTGATTGGACTTCTAGCATAAGAATAAGTCGTAAACCCATTGGCTACACTACTTAGTTAGGAATCTGAGTTAGTCGTAATGAAGTGGTCGCTGACGGAATCTTAACATTTGCTCTGTGCTATTTTACGGCTATGATGGGTGGTCACTGAAAGTAAGAAATATAAAAGGATTCAAAATTCCTTATAACAGATACTTTTGTTTAAATACTGGCGCTGGATTGAGTAGTATGTCAAGTAATAAGGAAGTTTGTGTTGTTAAAAATTGACATTATATTACCGTCTGGTGGGCATGAAGGCTTTCTCATTCAGCAACGTCATACTGTACAATCTTTTGTCGCATTTTTGCGTGTTTAATTCCACAGCATTCTACAATACAAAATCAGATATTCACCCTTTCGTAATTGTAATTATCTAGAGAAATTTTGCTCAGCGTATCATTACCAAAGACCACTGAAGACTAAGGATTAGTGTTACAAATTTATTTTTAAAAGTTTAGTTTCGCTTACCCATAAAGCAGAGTTAATTATTGACATAGGGTTAGGTTGGAAAAGAGTTAGGCATGGTCAAACCAATACCTAGTATCAATTCATAAAGTTTTTGACAGTTGGTTCGAGACACGTACGGAGGTGTAGACTGCTTAGTGAGGTCATTGGGAGGCTAAGAACGATGGGCTAGAGACTATTATTGGTGATATGGCTCAAAATTGTTCTCAGTAGCGCTGATGCATTCACTCTTTGTGATCTCTCAGATTCACTAAACCGTCATGTTTTCCCTTGCTACTATTTTTTCTCCCACCCATTTCTGTTCACTATGGCTTTTTATTGAATCTCTTTTTTCTCTACCTTTGTGTGTAGTGTGCAGTATGACAGGTTGAACTGCTACACTTCTGTGCTAATTTTTATGTTGAAACTCAATCAGTTAGAGTTATTTATTATTTTCCTCTTGCGTTCTAATAAATTAAATCCATTTTGCTTAAATTTTGAGAGATCTGTCCTTAATCCCGATCATCAACAAAATGAACCTTTTAATTATGAGGAAACGTCCATGAAATTCCACTAGTTCTGTCCTTTTAATTACTCTAAGCACGAGGACATATTCAAGAAATGTTATAGTGTATAACAGTAGTTTAAATTACATAACAAGGCTTCATTTCCTTACTTGTGGAACTCAACAACAGTTTTTCTTATACCGTAAGCTATCATCCAGTAACAAGATCGTAGAAGTCATCACGATTTAATGGATATTACCGAAATGTTAGTCGTTAAATGGCATTACCAAAAAACGTACAGAAGACTTAACGAATTTATCAAATATGAGTTGTTGAATTCTTCAACAAGAGACTTAACTCTATTACTTACCCTTTCACATCCTAGTAGTAATCTTTCGTATATTGTGAAAGCATTTTCAAAGATGTTGCAGCAGCAGTACACAGGAATATTTGAGAACGGCATTACTTATTGGAAAGTCGATGTACAAATATAGGCAAAATATGTCTGCCATATATTAGAATCACAATTTGCACATATTGGTTGGTATTGTGCTTCTTTGATTTCCTCTCATTTCTCCCATGTTGTTTCACAAGCATCGTTCATTTCTTCTCTTCACCATTACATCCATCTCCCTGCTATTCGATATTCTTGCGGATGATGTACATATTTTTATCCGTATCTATTTAGTACTTATAAATCTTGTCAGTAGTACACGCCACAAAGTAACTGACAGAAGTGGAGGATGATGTGTATACTTTTATAAATCGCTAGTAAGAAAATACAGATAATCTAATCGACAGACAGACTGTAAGAGAAATGGTAGACATCCTATTTTCCCTAAGTATTTTTAAAAGCTTGGCCTAGCATACAGTGTTATTAGAGGAAATGTAAGCAATTCTACTCAAACTAATTACTAGTATGGCCAACTAAAAAAATAATCACTGATTGAGTGTAGGTAAAGTTGGTTGTCAGTCGAAAGATCTATTCAGTGCACAAATCAACAGATGACGTAAATTTTTAAAGACAACAAAAGAGGATTCATGAGGACCTTTAGGCCAAAACAATCATGCGAAACCAATTCAGACTTGTTGTATAAAATAAGCGCTTTTATTTTACGACAAGTTTACATCTTACCTTCTACATCAAGAAATTAAAACATTCTGGTATAACCCAACCCTTACTCCTACAATTCGTTAACTCTCGCATTCTGCCTATTATTCCCCCTTAGTTTTTCCCAGGCTACTGAAGAAAGACTATAACATATTACGCAGGATGTTAAAGGTTGTCAGCAGGGTAAGCAACGTGCCTCTTAACCAGCTTGTTAATATTCTGGTCGACAGGCACATGGACTCATATGAAAAATGGGCCAAATCCATTTTATCTAACTCATACAACCCTCTTCATTCACAACTCTCCCCTTGCATCTCATCAGGCGAAACCAGAAGCCTATATAGAAAACTATATGCTCGCACCAGCAAGTACAAAAACTCAACCATACCCTACTTAGTTCGTGTTCTGTGCGACAAAGAAAGCATTAGGCGTGACACCTATAATTCACTATATATATGTATATATAATTTTTTTTTTGGTGGCAACTAGCAGTGACTTCAAGAACGAACCTTTCTCCTTATCTGAAACTTCTCATGTGTATTGAATTCAATATTATTTGGCTGATTTAAGTGAGGTTAAAAAAAAACAATCATCCATCGTTAGTTGTTTAGATTATGAATACTACACAGAGAAATAATTGTTACATCGAGACTGTATCAAATTTCTATTAAAATAACAGTTTAGCGTATTTTGTACTACAACATTAGCCCTTTGTTTTGCTCATACTAAATAATTTTGTTTTTTTTTATTATTTAGGCTGGTGTACGTTTATTGCATAATGGTAAAGTTGCATTACTCTCATGGTGTGAAAGTACATTTTGGGCAACTGTTACAAATCAAGCAATTATACAATTGAATAAAAATGATCAAATATGGCTTGAATGTCGAGATGAAGCGTATAGACTACATGGACATATGTATAGTAGTCTATCTGGATATCTTCTTTATCCTCTTGTTTAATAAGAACAACTACATCATTATTATATAAATTGTATACAACATTACAGGATATTCTTTTACTTATTTCAATTTTAATTCTTTAAGAGTCATATTCTTTTATAAGCTGACACTCTCATTGTCTTTATAGTTCCACTTTATAAGTGATAATGATACTATCATTATTGAATTCAATGAAGATGTGCATTTTAACATTCTTTACTTACTTGAATGCATTACTCTTACTAAATACAAAAAGTGAACTTTATGCCAACCTTGTCTTTGAAACGGCTTTTTTCTTTTTTGTGACAGTGAAATACAAGTCATGATACAGTTGAACTTGATGAAGCATATGACAACGTGACACCGTTAACTCTATAGTAGCAGTGAAGTGTGCTACTGAGATTTCATAAGTAGTATATTACGTGTGATTTCTTCTGCAAGGATATTGAATAACGGACGAACGAATTCAGTGGCGAAGAGGGTAAATAAAAGATCTTTATGAAACGATACAGAAAAGATGAAAGCAGAACAATAGGAAGAACATGTGCAAATGGAGATTTCGATGAAAGGTTTACGCATTTTGGTTGGATAGACCGATCTGCTACCAAATACTACCGTTTCAAAAGAAGTTAGTATGTTAGGCTAATACATATTTCTTATACTCGAAGCAAATGCAACCGAAAACAACGCTTAAAGCAGCATTTTGTCCACAAAACTTCGGAAGTACCAGTTGTTTAAACTTTTGCTCAGTGTGTTAAAATCGCTTCTACATCCTACATTTTTCTTTTATTCCCTTATATACCGAAGAGCTTTGAAGTTTCGGTAGCAGTGGTTTCACTTTACAGGGTGGAGTTGCTAGCCTCACACCTAACCTTCCGTCTTTACTACCGGCTTAGAGAGGTTAAGGAGTGCGTCGCCCGGTGATAGAATCCCGAACCACATGTGTGGTTGGCGGGCGTTCTACCGCCGACACCCAAAAGATGACCAGAATCAAGCATCTTACGAAGCATGATGTAAATGATATAATTTTCTGAGATTTAAACGTCTCATCATTACGTTTGATGACATATTCAAAACTAATTTCACTGAGAAATGAGACATAGCTGAACGAATACTTAGGTATTCCTTTACTTAAACGCGTGTCACTGTGGTTTAAAGAAGACATCTTTACAACACAACCTTAAACTCTACAGCAGTATACGAGAATAATTATCTGTCGTGAGTTTGCATAATATTGGATAGCATTACCAATTAACGTGAAATTATGATTGCAACCGTCCACATGTTTTTAATCGTGTCATCTTAGTGCTTGTAGATTCTTTCGGACACTTTGCAGCTGGACTGGCTAACGCATTGTTGATTTACAAGTCGTTCTAATCCCAAATGGACATAAAAAAATCAACTGACGACTTTCGAGAAGTTTTTCACGTAGGGTGACTACTGATAAAACTTGCTGCTGATATTATCAAGATAGACTTTTGCTTTAAGCATCTTATGTAGATAGTTTCTTCAGACTGGTGTGAAATTTCTATGCTGCTGTGGACCTCGAAAATAATGTTTTGAAATAGGACTTAAGACCTATCGAGTGATTGCATACCATTGTTAAAAATGCGATAGATTTGGATAACTTTTATTAGGCTCTACAGTTGTTTTACTAGGCATATCTAAAAACAGGTATTTATTATTTTCTTTATTTGATTATTCAGCCTGAGGGTTTTTCATTTTATTGATTTCAGGTTTAATAAAATTGCCATCGACATATGCAGTTCGTATTTTTACACAGATTTTCATTCTCATTGTGAACTAAAAACCTCGCCTATTATTTCAACATACTTCAGCATGTAGAAAACCTAACACCAATAGGTTTGCTTATTTTCACAATCAATTAAGTATTAATAAACTGAGAACTCAAATCATTTTTTCAAGTACTATTAACTATAAAAAATACATAAGAACAACCACTGAAAAACTACTATTGATCGTTATCTCAGTATCAGTGTACAATATACTCAGAAATCATTAATCAAACCATTCGTTTATTCAGTATGAAGCGTTTGTATTTTGGCGTTTGAAATGATGGACACTAGGGTTCGAGTTTCAGTGGAAACACCATTACTCACTAAGAAATGCACGTACATTCAGCTGACGAGTCCCAAATAAGACGAAGCGCATATCCTGGATTCCACCACCCACCAAATTACTTCATGTAGCAGTCTTCTCGAAAAGTAATTCAATTACACGTCTATTTACATTTTGCTGTTACCCTAAATACCTGTTGTTAAGTTCCCGACTAAATTTACGGCTATAAGCTTTATGTTCAGACCGATTAATTATTGGTAATTTCTACCCAAGGTACATAATTCCTCATCATTTAAGAGGATAGGTTGGCATCCTGAGATAGATAAACCCCTTTTTACATGATAAAGGTCACTCACCATTAGTTAGAATAAGAACAATATGAAAATCAAATAAAAGCAATGCATTGTATCAAGAAAAAGACGACTAGCAAGTTATTGAAAGTAAGAACAGAAACCAATATAGACAAAAGTACCATCTCACATTCAAATGCTAAAAAAAGAAATTGACACAAAATGGTAAAATACAAGGATGCACACATTGCACACTGTTTCAGGTCATCTTTAATGTATTATCTCGTATATAATCATACTTCTTTTTGTCAGGCAGTTTAATTAAAATACAAGAACTTTAGGTAAGATACAATTAGGAGTGATTGAATTCTGTTTTTCTTTACACTCCTAATACAGTATACAATTGGATATGATGAAATCAAATAGATGATGGAGTCTTTTTACAGCATAACACGACGTGTCAACCACCAAATGACTAATGGTTGAACTAGTGCAATAAGTAGTAATAAATAAATTCGACGTTTATTACACTCTGATGGATAGGCTTCTGCATGTGGAAGAATTTTAAGCTTAAGACTTCTTATCTGAAAGGAAAAACAAAAAGTGATATTATAAGACAGGATAAAACTTATTCGGGAAATCAATTAGATAAAAGCACATTTCATGATTCTTAAAACTACTCCTGCAAAAAATTAAGAGATAATCACTAAATCAGTAGGAGACACGAAAAAAAAGTGAACAAGAAATGAAATTTTCTTATTTCGTTTAAGTCAATTTTTGTTTTTCCCATTGACTGACTGAACTGAAATGTTCGACTTCTGTTGACATGTCGACTACCTAGTACGGATGCTACGATGATGTTTGAGGATGAAAATTGAAGCTATTTGAATGATAGTGACTGACAGTGGAATGCAGGATGTACATTTTGTCCTATTTAGAAGTGAATGTTTCTAGAATCACTTATAAATTTATCCATATGCTTAATTGAAGCGATAAGATTCCTTTTTCCCTCATTCAATAATTTAGGCGTCATCAGATTTAAGCTATAAACAACTATACTTCATTTCATGATACTGACTTTTCTAGAAGCACATACGCGGTTGTGTGAGTTTCAGTTGTGTGATATGCATTTCCTGGATACCCTTCTTAACTGGACATGCCTAGTCATCGCCTTCCTCGACGGGCAATGTTAGCTGATATAGGGTTAGGCTGGAAAAGAGCTAGCGGCGGTCAAACGAAAACATGGCACTAGTCAATGAAATCCACAACAGGATGTCGTGAATTGGCAGAAGTAGAATTCAAACCATTGGAGTGTGCAATGGTCTACACTCGTGAAGGCTGGGTTCGAACCCGTGGGCGCGTACTGCTGAAGAGTCCCAAACTAGGACGAAACAGCTGTCCAGTACTCCCAGTTGGTTTTCCAGTGGTTCTCTAACTGATGTCAGCTCATGATGAAACCCTCCATGCAATCAAACCAAATCCCTACAAAACCAATACTTGCAAATTAATCTGATGCTCACTAGTGACTGGCCCTATTCAGGCAGTTAACCTGGGGTTCTAGTGGGAAGCCGTGACCAGTAGGGTACAGCAGGTCGAAGATGAGGACAGTTACTCACGAAGAAGACATTGCGAAATGGTCGCGCTATGTCGTGAATTGGCAGAAGTTAGAATTCAAGGACCATTGGATCGGGTCCCAGTGGCTCAATGGTCTACGAGCTCGCCTCGTAACCAGAAGGTCCTGGGTTCGAATCCCGTTGGGCGCGTACTGCTGAAGAGTCCCAAACTAGGACGAAACAGCTGTCCAGTACTCCCAGTTGGTTTTCCAGTGGTTCTCTAACTGATGTCAGCTCATGATGAAACCCTCCATGCAAATCCACAACAGTTAGTCTAAGCCACGTAGGAAGGTGTAGACTGGCTTCCTGGTTGGGGTCCTCGGGATGGTAAAAACCAATGGTTGGAAACAATTGGTGACATGGCTCAAAATCGTTCTCAGTGGCGCAGATGCATTCACTCCTTGTGACTTATGATTTCCAATGAAACTGTTTTGTTCTCCGTTATTACTATTCCTTTGTCTCACACCTCTGTTTACTGTCTATATTATGCATTTCTCTTACTTTCTTCTCTTGCTTTGCGTGCTACATAGATTGTGGCGACTTGAACTGCCGCACATATGTGCAAAGTTCTATGTCGAAAACCGACCGACCGACCGACATTACCACAACTCATCCCGATGGACAGGGATGGCTTCTACTATTAAGCCATAAAATACGGGAAGTATTGAACATCTATATGTCTGTTCCAGGACTTGGTGTCGGCTGAATTGGTAAATGAAAGTTTTGAAACCCACTTAGTGCCTTATGGTTTTCCTAACCAACACAATCACTATCCGAATGACCTAGGAACCAAGGATTATTGACACTATATTAGCTCAGTTGATCTTTTTGTGGTTATCGTAATATGTGAGTCAGTCGAATCATTTCTTAAAGCCTTCTACATATCATTTCAGTTATTTACTCAGAAAAATTTATGAAAATTTTATTCTTTCCAGATGTTGTTTCACTTACCATAAGGTTTCCTTCCTATCAACCTAAATAATGCCGAGGAATTTTCGTTGAATTTCCTATAATAACCTTTACCCATCACTTCTCTAAATCGTAAAAAACTTCAATCAGTATCTTTTTTTAATTGCCTTACGCTCCTCATTATGTTTAGAAACTCCTGGTATAAATTTCTGTACATTAGTTAGTTCAAAGTGCGTCGGTGGCATGGGCATGGCGGTTGGGACGCTCGCCAACCACACGCATGGTCTGGGGTTCGATCCCCGGCCGACGCACTCCTTTACCTCGCCAAGCCAGAAATAATGCTGGTGAAGAGGAAAGGTTGGGCATGAGACTAGTAACCCCATCCTGTAAAATAAACACTGCTACAGAAACTTCAAGCCACTAGCTTGAAACCCCCGGGGAACGTGAAGGAAAAAAAAGTTAGTTCAAATGAGATAAGAAACCCATTGGCTTTTACCCACCTTTACAGGTGATCAGATGTGTCTACTAAAGATTGGATATGGTCCCAGATTAATTTAAGATAATTACCACCGCCATGCCCAGAGAATTTTAGTAAACACCACCCTAAATTCGAGCTCCGCGTTCTCACTTCCAAAACGAGTCCACAGCTGCCTTCTCCTACGTCTAAATCAGTTACAGACACACTAGGCTGCACTAAAACATGGCTAGAGGTCACATAGTGGCTTGAAACACAATAATAACCCTTTACCAATTCCCTTTATTGATTTTATATGATGAAATGACCAATCTGTGTTTATCATTGGCTTAAAGATGGTGGCAGCTAAGCAATATGTTGTATTTTCGTATGTTTGATATTGGTGATGTCTAAAAACATGTAACTGTTTAAAAACGCTGTAAGATACGACCACTCTTCTGGATTCATCAACACAGTACTTTGTGAATATCTCAGTATGCTTTTCCGAATGCTTCATTTTTCTTACCTAATCAATCAAATCACTCGCTCACGCGACAACTGACCGATTCAAAGCAAAAGTGACAGTTTCTAGTAATACTTGTCTTTTAGTTCGTACAAATTGAGAACAATGAGAGCGTAGATGAAGGAACTGACAAGTATTTCCATATCTCCTTATTCGTACATATTTCTTTGGTCAGAGAGCAGACAAATAACTGCCTAATAGGATATGAAAAGGCATTGACCACAGTGCTCTGCAACTTGATCCTATTCCTATGCCAGCAAATCCACAGGAACTGGCCAGATAATCTTCCTGCACTGGTTGAATAAACCTGTCAGGGATGGTACACTAACTAATTCGAATTAAGTAAACAACCAAACTTGACGAGTGCCAGTCAGCACGAAACTTAGGTTCAAGGCTTCCTGCCGATTGCCTTCAACCATATAATATTAACAACTTAAAGTATATCGTGATAGCGAGCCACCTAGAATAGTAGCCACATTGCAAACTTGACTAACAGAATTCAGTCTGCACCAAACAAAGAACTGGACACATTACACTAGTTACTAACTTAGTGTCCAATCAAAACAATAAAACTTGTATTAGTGAAATTAAGTATAACTCAACACCTACATGGATATGGCAATAAGTTAAAACACCGTACGACGACTGTTGACGCAATACGGTTACCCACATCTCAGATAGAATAGGGCTCGAAATTGTTATTTAGTGGTTAAAAGGTGAGTGCCTAGACACTTTACATGTATCCTAGGAATACAATAAGTATCCACAAAGGAAACAAAGCAATAAATAGTGAAAGTGAACTTACAAGGAAAAATGCCAGTGCCAAACTAACATACAATAAACTGAAATAATAGCCTGGTCGATCCAATCCAACATAACTAATCAAGACTACAATCATACTGTAATAAAAGCAAAAGTAAAAAAAAACTAGCAAACACAGAACGATATCATAATAAAACAATTTGATGATATGGTACCCATATGGTGCCCAAAATGCACCAAGTTTGGGCTTGAATAAGTAATAATAATATCGCAGTCCACATTGTCATATGATATACTTGCACATAAATTACGCTATTGGAGGATTCAAAATGAAAACAGAAAAATAGCAAGCATGAAGAAGCGAGACAAAGATGAAATATGAGTGCGTGCGCATCATCGCATCCCATTCTCAGTCATTTAACACTGTCTTCAGTTACAGAAAACGACTATCACAAGGAATATGGACAAGTAAGCTAAACTTCCTCACATGAATTGGAAAAGCACTCAATGATTCAGTTATTGGAGGAAATTCTTTGGACTACCCATCACTTATGTTTACTGCAAATTATTTACATGAAGGTAGCATGTCCTGGATGTCTGGCCCCATTCAAAAAGGCGTATGAACCGAACTCCGGTCACCGGCTGCCAATGGATAGTGGACTCCCTACTCCACCCCTACTGCCTTGTAGGTCACACTTGGTTGTGTAAAGGCTAGAGCTGCACTCTCAAACAAAAGGCCGAGCGATTCTGGGGACATCACTCGTACCAAATTCCCATGAAACTTCATGAACTCTCTTACAAACGACCTGGCCTCTTCGCGCGGAAGATGTACGCAGACTCGAGGTAGTATACCATTGGTGCCTCAGGTACATTCTGCATGTTCGCTGGCAGGACAAACTCTCCAACGAAGAAGTGCGTCGTCGTTGCTGCAACATCAACCAAATTCCAGTACTGGTCCAACAACGTCGCCTTCGGTGGTTTGGCCATGTTCTGTGCCGACCAGATGACGATCTGGTCAAATCAGTTCTAAATCCCTCGCCATTACCATCTTGGCGATGTCGCAGGGGTGGACAGCTGAAAACATGGCTTGGTACAGTCAAGGCTGATATGGAGTGCCTGGGGCTACAAACCGTCTACGGACTCCGTCTGTGGAACAAGAATTGGATAACCCTGTCGCAAAACCTTGCATCAGATCGCCGCGCCTGGGCAGCGATGATTCGAGATGTTCATGAAGCCGGCTCATCCTCTCGTAGGAGATAGCCGAAGTAAAGTAAGTAAGTAGCATGTTGTGTTAGACAGTAGATGGTAATATATGGCACACATCCTATTGGTCATAACTTATTAATCTGCATGTAAATAAGTAATAATAACAATAATAATAATGTATTCCCCACATTTGCTCTTTTCATCTCCAGCCATGGGAGTTGACAATCTCATAAATACTTATCTATCCTACCCAGTACTGCACACTGGAAGAGCAATAAAAGTAAAATATTTGTAACTTTACTGGATGTTCTTTTAACGGTATTGCCTTGCAGTCATGGAGTTCAACAGAGCGAAATTCTGTGGAGTAAATTAAATCATGACTTGATAATCGTCAAACTCAGCTACAACGTGACCAGCGCGATTCGATACAAACGAAATCAGTTTTTTCACACGCGCTAAGATTTTCACTAGCCTGAAATGCTTTAAAAATTCATGCTATACGTGGCAGTCAGATATTAAGTAACAATCTACATTTTGAAGGTGGTGAATGCAGCACAAACTACTGCCAGATTATTACTCAATGTATGAATCTTTCAGTGTCTAGTGAGTCCTACTCAAGATGATCTTTGTTTAACTACTTTAACTACCCCAGTAGGTAAGACTAAATAAAACCTCTCAATAAGACCATTTACAATAAGACTATATTGCAGAACACAGCTACATATAATAGCTTTATCTTGTAATAGGCTATGAGCCACATTTGCTGTGAGACGACTGATATTACCCAGATACACAGCATGAACAAGTGAATTAGAACCTAGGACTCGCTGACTGAAACCAATGAGCCACATCCCTACAATATATGTATATATGATAAGTTATATAAACGAGGTAATTGACCAGCATAAATATATAACAAATTGAAAGTTTAATTAGCAACAAACCTGACAAATTTGTATCCACAGTATGCAACTATATCCAAGTAAGAAATATTTGACTGGATATTAAGGATATAGATTCCGAAAAGAGTCAATAAAACTTCAAGCAGTAACCAGCCAAAAGCTTCACTTGCTAAAATACCAAGATATTCCGGTGAAAAACGACTTTGGAAACCAAATATAACACCACTCAAAAGTATGTAGGTAATAGAAGCCATTAACGGTATGTACAGATCTGGAGCATTAATATCATCACCGGGAGGTACCGGTCCAGCAGGGTCATAATTGGAAGCCCACTTCTAATGAACGAAAAGATTGAAACATTACAGATTTTAAATGTACAAGCTTATGTTTTGTAAGTCTTATCAGTAATAACCGCAAATAGGATACTATTACAATCTTAAAGCACGATAAACCAAGGCTTCTTTTTGATACCCAAATGATAAAATTTTGAATGTGCCCTCAACAATGAGTCCCCTAAAATGCGTACTTATCCGTCGAATAGCTAGCTGCATTTATATCAATCATGGACGATACTATCCAAGAGTGAACATAAAAAAACAGAATATAAATACAAGGCGAAAATACTGTTATCACTATATTCCAAGACTTTAAGCAAAAGACTTGCAAGATGACTACAGTTAAGTGGACCGAGACACGTGCCACCCTAACGGGTAAAATACAGCATTGCCTGACATTTGAATTAAGAGTCAAAACTGTTAACAAGATGTTTACTGATCATGCTGTTCTGAGATCCGTTTATGTTTGATTTTGTTTCTTAGTTTACCACAAAAGACCAGCTATCCCGTCAAGCTACCAGCGCATACACATGTCTTGGTAACCCTGATTAATTCATTATTCATATAGTAAGCAAATACTCGATCTTTTTGGAACTCACCAAGCAAATTCAGGAGAGAAGGCATAATTAGATTTGGTTACACAACCTGCAACTCCACTTTGTTGTCCATGGTCATATATCGAGGTGGCCGCTATAGTTTAACTTCTCCGTAAACTTAATACTAATCACCGAGCCCTAAGTCCGAACTAATACCTGACACTAATCTTAAAGACAATGTAACTACTCAAGACCGTAGTCCCATCTGGGACAACATACTTCGCCAGGTTAGGTTAATTAGGCCCACAATCGACTATAACATTTACCAGGCATTACTCCTGAATGTAGCTGTACCTCAGCCATAATCTAAAGGTAAACTGCTTCTATACCTAATCCCAACATACAAATGTCAGGATAGAACCTCGAAGTAGCTCATGAATAGGATGAAGACCTGCTTGGTTTTCATATCCATTCGGTAGGTCTGGGTGCCATCCTGTGCGGCAACTAAGCCAAACAAATAAAAAAATAAGACAATAGATGACAGATCCCCATAAATTCCATGTCTGCTGGCTGAGCAGGTTCTTCATGGGGGCAGGCATTCAAATTGATAAATATAGCAATTTATAGACGTAAAAAAAATAAATCGAACGGGATACACCTACTGTATGTGCAAAAGGAAACAAGACCAATCCGATCTTTTTAGCGACGTAGGAATTGTTAACGGAGAAATAATACTTTAATCGCATCACATTAACATATTCGTTCACCTGAAGCATTAAGTATGTGTGAGACAGCTTACATTCTTCTGCACATAGTTTGCACCTTCACCAAACACGGCTGACCCATAGCGAACAGCCAAATCGGGAATGAAGGGATTTTGAACAAATGGTCCAGGTGGGATACCACCTGTGTTGTCACTGGCTCTCTGTACTGGGGATGCGTATTCTTGACTATAAGAGGGATAATTAGGGTAAAACGGGGCTAAAATAGACTGTGGTTAGGGCTCTATGAAACAAACCTTCCGGATAATTAGACGCATAGTTCGGATTATATTGTGCACACATGATGAACGCGTACACCGCAAAATGCAAATAAGGCGGGTCGTGAAAGCGAACGAGTAGATTTTCAAACAGTCCTACAGCATTAATTTCTTTGAAAACTGAACAGCTTCCTCTGCGAAAAATAATATAAAAGACGATAGCACTTTTAATCAGTGGTAACTATGATAACGGATTGGCGCTAATAACGATGTCAACAACTGCAACAGAGGAACAATTTTCTAACGAAAGTGATTTCGTTCTGAAACCAAATAAATATGCATTCCTCAATGCTAAGTGCTTGCTTCAAAGGTGTACTGATAATGACTACAACATGTTAGTGAACTAAAAGCTGAAATAAATTTCAATATCTTTTAGCTATGATCATCTTGTTAGTATACTACGTACAGTTTTAAGAGGCGGTAGTGATGATTCGCTGACTGAACTGGAAAATTTAAGCCGTAAATTGAAAAAGTACAAATGTTCTGCGAGCACGCGATTGATGAGAAATGTTGAAGAGAAATCTGCTGAATTAGATTTGGCAGTGCTTCGCAGACCATATTTTTCGGTATGTTTTATCCCTAAATATTCTCTGAATTATGCAGTACAATCCTAAAGAAAACTTCAGACTTCAAAATTTTCCTGATTTACCCAAACTGTTCTTTGCATTAGAACAAGCTGGAATAGGTTTGTCATATAAATTCCCTATGACTGTTCATTTCAAAGGTTTTCCACAGGAAGAAGTCATCAACCTCTCGTTGTCTGTACGTAACTTTTTAAAAAGTGTACCCTCCAACAGTGTCAGATTTTGGGGAAAGTATTTGGGAACTTGTAAATGTTACTACATATTGGAGGTGGAAGAATTGCAGCCAGCTGTCAAGCCTCCTGATTCGTTTAAAGTTCAGACCAACTTGATGGAAAGTGAGAGCACTGCAAGGTCAGATGTTGCACTTAGTGAAAGGCTTGCGGTACTGGATTTGGATCCCCTTCCAAAATCTGAATGGAAATCACAGCCATCTATACCACCTGAAGAAAGTGGAAAGGGAACCAATAGAAAAGCATATTACGTATGTAATATTCTTGGGGAGAAGTGGATCAGACTACCGGATGTCACTCCAGAACAGGTAATTTAACATATACTTGTCATATTGCTTTTGATATTTGAAGTTACTTTCAGTTTATAGAAATAAGAATAATGTCTCAGACTTTTGTGTAAGATTTCCACTTGCTGTCCACTCGAGACCAGAACATTGGTTTTAATTAATCACCAAGTAAATGTGAAATAGTGCGTCGGTGGCACAGGGGTTAGGATGCTTGCTGACCATGCACATGGTCCGGGGTTCGATCCCCGGCCGACGCACTCCTTTACCTCGCTAAGCCAGAAATAATGCTGGTGAAGAGGAAAGGTTGGGCATGAGGCTAGCAACCCCATCCTGTAAAGTAAACACTGCTACAGAAACTTCAAGCCACTAGCCTGAAGCCCTATGTTCCACTGGGAACGTGAAGTAATAAAAAAAAGTGAAATAAAGTATCAAACTTCACAATATGATATGAGGTTTTCCTTATGCTAACAGTTTAGCGAAATATTCCCCATTTTCAAGGCTATTTCTTCATAATTAGTTACTTCTGTGTAGAATAAGTTTATGTAGAAAACGTTTTCCCCTTGAACCACAAGATATGAAATCGGCGATACCTCACAGCCGAACAGAATAGATGAAGCACCTCAGTGAAATAAATGTTTTAGACACTTTTAACACAGGTAATGTGACATTTTTAACTGAAATAATTTATGATAGCTAAAAAGCAGCTCAAAAGGGATACAGTAACAAATAAAAAGACCCAGATTTACAGTTTTGCTTACTAGGATCAGCAAATCTCCACACACTTTACCATTTTTGAATTGAAATCCTCTTCTATAGGTGGAAGATTAGATAATGTGTATGGAACATGTGTTTTAATTTGTTAAAATAGTTCAGGAACATAATAAAATAAATTCTGAATAATCTCTTAATCGTAAAACTCTATCAGTCAAAATTTATAACTCCCTATTCTAACAAATATCAAAAGCTTTTAGAAAGTAATTTGAAGAAGATACTGGCAAAGTGCGAAAACAAGCTATTTAATTATTTCCCTGAGTTTTATTTAAGTTATTAAAGTCCTACCTATGTAATAATAGGTTTTAATGCTTCATAATAAAGCGAAATAATAGCAATCCTTTTCAAACTTTATAGATTGTTACCAGTCGTATGATAAAATACTTTTGCACTGGAAACTTGGAGGCTGAAATTAATTCATACCCAACATTTCCAGGAACCGAGAAGAACTTTCTCAGAGCACAAATAGCACGCATATCTGGATCAACGATAATCTCCCCAATAAACTATTACCAGTTCAATGAAGACGAAGAAGAGGAAATGGAGGAAGATGCTTCACGTGAGAATTTCGTCGAAAACTCTGAATACGAACCTATGACTATTTATGATTTAACTGATCCTAGTCTATCCAACTGGGTCCACCATACTGCCTACATATTACCCCAAGGTCGGACAGTGTGGTAAGTGTAACAAATACTGAAATTCTGTTCTCGAGACTGCTTCGCTTCTTAAAACATACATAACTACTACTCAATAAATGTTTAACGGTTAAAATAAAAATGCATTCATCATTTTATACAACCTTACCCTTATTTGTGATGAAAGCTTCATCATCATATCTTATTCGAGTTTATCAGACTTTGTATATCACAGATATCAGTACAAATACTGAAATAAAAACTGTTTTCATTCTGAACCCAACTAAAGCCTTTCTGAATTCTGTGACGAAATTATTTTCCGTAACTATTCAGATTTAGATTTATTGGTTGAGGATAGAAGGCTTGGACCCTATGTTAATCCTTTTCTAGTAAATTTCTGTGGTTGTCCAAACGCTTCTTGAATGAATCAGTTGAGGTTGCAGACACCACTTCTTCTGGGAGTCGGTTCCAAGAGTTTATGACTCGTGTGTGAACCAGTACTAAACAGCAATATGTTTTCTTCTTGGCTTTTGAACTCTCCTGCTATGTCCTTTAAGGTGTTCTGACCTAGTGGGAAGGAAAAGAGAGAATAGGTCAGGTCCGTAGTCATTATTTAAAATTTTAAACATTGTGATTAAATCTCCTCTCTGCCTACGGTATGACAGGGAGAAGAGATTTAAACTGTCTAGTCTTTCCTCGTATGATAAGTTAGTCATGCTGTGAACCATACGTGTTGCCTTCCTTTGAACCCTTTCTAGAATGTGTGAGTCCCCTTTTAGACAAGGACTGGCTGCGTGGATACAGTTTTCCAGTCTTGACCTCACCAGAGATGTATATAAGGAGGTGAACATATCTCTGGTTATTCTAGTAAAGGCTCTGCGAATTGCCCATAAGGACCTGAAACTACGTGCAGCCACCGCGCGACAGTGTGCTGTAGTTTTTAAATCGTGGCTAACTATTACACCTAAGTCCAAGTAAGTCTGAACTGACGGAAGTGTTATTCCCTCTAGTTCGTAGGAGCTGGTGCTTGCTTGTCCAATGCGCATGGTTGCACATTTTGCCACATTGATCGGGAGCATCCATTCTCTGGACCACTCTGACAATTTGTTGAGGTCCTCTTGCAACGTGGATGTATCACTGTTGCCCTTCAGCTCTCTCCAAATTTTTAAGTCATCTGCGTATAGGACCATAGGGGAGTCGGTGAGCAGAGATAACTCATTGATATACAAAATAAATAGGAGAGGTCCGAGTACCGTGCCTTGTGGCACTCCACTACGCACTGCTGTCCAAGAGGAGAGTTTCGAGTTGATCCTAACCCTCTGCCTCCTATCTATGAGGAATTCCCTGAGCCAGTTTAGTAATCTGCCTTTGATACCAAGACTTTCCAACTTCATGAGTAGTCTTTTGTGAGGTACTTTATCAAAGGCTTTGCTGAAGTTTATGAAGACGATGTCAATGGGTCTTCTGTTGTCCCTTGATTTGACCCAGCTTTCCCTGGCACTGAGAAGATTTGATAGGCATGAGAGGTTTCTTCGGAACCCGTGCTGTGCTCTGGATAACATTTTGTTGTTTTCCAGATATGCCATGATGCTTTTCTTGATGATTCTTTCCAGTGTCTTGATTAAAGTGCTGGTGAGACTGATAGGCCTGTAATTTGAAGGGCTTTGTCTTGATTCTCCTTTGTGGATGGGGGTTACTGTGGCGTCTTTCCAGTCACGCGGTAACACTCCATTTAGGAGAGATAGCTTGGAGATCGTGGTCAAAGGGCCGGCTATGTGAGCTGATAGCTCCCTGAGAAGCTTTGGATGAAGATTATCAGGACCCACTGATTTCCCTGCATCTAGTTTCCTTAGGCAGTTGAGCACGATGCCTTGGTCGATGTCAACGGAATCTATCCCGTATTCCTCTGATGCAGCCAGAGCTGATCCTATAGGGAGTGATGACTTCTGTGTGAAGACTTGGGAGAAGTAGTCTGCCATTGCTTCTGCTTTTTCTCGATCTTCTTCGATTGTCATTGTCAATAGTCAGGTTTGGGATACCACTGGATGTTTTACTCCTGAAGATCATGTACGAGAAAATTTTCTTAGGTTGTGCCTTTACATTTTGAGCCAGATGTGCTTCGAACTTCATCCTTGATTGGCGGATTTCTGCAATAGCTTTATTCCTAGCAGTGCTATATAATTTCCTACTCTCAGGAGTCTCAAGTGTGACAAACAGGTTCCAGAATTTGTGTTTATGTCTGAGTAACTTACGAATCACTCGGTTTATCCAAGGGGGGCAATGTTTCCAACCCTTTGGGACAGACCAAGGGATAAAAGGTTCAGTTACTTGGGCGTAAAGTTGTTTAAATTGGTTTCATGCGGCTTCTACTTGGGACTCTGAGTTGATGTACCAGTTTACTGAGTTGGCTGCTGAGACGATTGCATTTATATCAGCTTTCCAAACGTTTGATCGAGCTGGGGTTTTGGCCCTTGCTGCTGTTGCTGTGAACTTGAAAGTGAGCACAGCATGATCACTTCTTCTTAAAGGAGGAAGATGTTGTATGAGATCCACATCCTCACCGTGGGAGAACACTGGGTCCAGAGTTGAGGAGGAGTACTGTGAGTCATAGTGCGTGGGCTTAATGATATGTTGGACTAGGGCTAGCGATATACTAGATTCCAGCAGTTTATGATCAAAGGAGTTGACTGAAGATAGAGTTGTAAGGCTCGTCCAGTCAACTGTTGGGGCGTTGAAGTCACTGATTACGAGACTTCGACATTTCGAAGTCCAGGAGGCTAGCTTCTCTATAAGGAAGTCATCTTCACTGCAGTCAGGACTGCGGTATATAGCAATGAGGTCAATGTCTTGGCCTATGCATTTAAGTCTGCAGCGTAGAAGTACGCACGACTCACTTTCGTGAGCGAGTGCTTCGATGCTACGCACGGTTAAGCATTTCTTGAGGTAGATGACTACGCCACCTCCTTTGCGGTTTAGTCGGTCCACCCTATGCACTTCGAAGTTTGGCAGGTTAACTTCGTTGTCAGTGACATCGGGTGTGAGCCATGTCTCTGTGATGATAATTACATCCGCGTCTCCGGAGTCTATCATGTTAACCAGCTCAGTCCGTTTGTTCAACAGGCTGCGGGGGTTTGTGTAGCAAACTGTCAATTCAGTTTGGTGCTTCCGCGGCCTACCCACAGAGGTTTCGGGATAATGAAACTGCGAACTTTGACAACCCGAAAATCCTTAATCTTAAGGTTCTTTTCGCCGTTTCGATGTCGTTCGCTTAATTATATGGCCGCAGACTGTCTTTTGACACGGTCTGCTACGCTTAAGTCGGCACGGACATATATGCCTGATCCTTTAAGAATTTGAGAGTTGCTTAGAATGGCATCCCTCTCTTCTTTGGAGTTTAGTACGACTTTGAGGAGACGTACAAGCTGATTTACTGTATGGTCAGACTTTTGGCCGATTCTATATACACTGTGTATTGTAATGCCTGATACTGTTTGTGGCAGTAGCTTATCTAAAAGGGGCTTGACCAAGTTAAGGTCATGCTCGAATCTGGCCTTGGGATCGGAGGCTAGTGATTCTTCCACTTCGTGGAGAATGAGCGACCTGTCGTGGCTTTCTTGCTCTGCGGCGTAAATGTCTTTTTGTCCTTCGTGGGTAGTGTAGCCGATGTGTTGTCCTTATCTAGCTTTTTGCGAGAGACTACATTGTGCCATTCATTGGCGTCCTCCTCGCTAATCGTAGTCGATTTTATCTGCCTGCTATCCACCGGTGTGGATGAGGCTTGATCTACCAGTCCCTGGGCGACTTGAGTTGCAGGTTTTCGACCCCTGGTACGCCTCTTCTTCGTGGTAGTCTTTCCGCTACTGTCACTGGAGGGCTTATCCGGTATCGTGGGGGCAGCGTGGGTGTCTGGAATATGGTGGGTGCTCTTCTGTGCTGAAAGGCACTCAGTCATTGACAGAGACGCATCAGGAACATGTACTGTTTTGTCGATGACGCTAGTCACGTCTTCGGTGTCTGAGCAGTAGTCGGTCTTTTCCTGTGGTGGAAGACCCTTGCAGTCCATGAGCTGTGGAGCCGCACTGAGAGTGGCAATGGCTTCTGTCATACGAAACTTAGTCGTACTACAGCAGTCATTGCACAACCAGTTTGCAAGAGGTTTGCAGCAGCGTTTGTATGCTGCAGGAGTTAGGTTTGTGCACATGCTATGAAACAATCTCTTGCAGTTATCACACTGCATTCCCTCATCCACTGGAAATTGACACATAACCCTTCCGCAGAAGTTCCTTTTGATCGGCATGCTTTTTAGAGAGAATCGGGGAAAAACGATTTAAATATGACTTTATATATATATATATATATATAATAATAACTATTAAGTTATAAGAACACAACTTCCTATAATTTAATAGACTCAAAACTGAAACATAAACTAACTTCGATCAGAATAAACTGATTTAAAGTTAACCTGTAGACTTTTGGAGCGTATAACACAACAAAAGCCAAAACTAAACAAGAGCGTGTAAAATTCACTCCCTTTTCAAACTTCGCACTTCCTGTTTTTACTGAAAACTTTAAACTTCTGACAGTAACAAGAACATCTGTATGAGCTAAGTAGGTAATTGTCTTCAAATCCTGTGCAAAGACTAGTGAGCTGCACTACATATTCTCCATTAGAAACCAATGGTCTACTTAGTTTAACACACTGGAACTATAAAATTTAAAGGCAAATTGTGGACAAAGAAGTACTTGTTCAATTAATTATCTTTGGTTAGTGACTACCTAATATGATGAAATATATTAAAATCTGGTAAGGAATACAATGAAGAACTGCAGGTAAACACGTTTCTTTAATGCAAGAGTAGCACTTAGGCATTCTGGTAGAATATAACTTCATATAATACAAGCTTATTTGATATGAAACACAGTGACACAGTATTGATAACTGGATTATGTTTCGAGCACAAATTTTACTGCCTCCTGATTAATTATGTAACCGCTTTTATATTCGAGACGGGTGTTGCATTTTTTTCTATTACATGTGT